TGTGTGTGTGTGTGTGTGTGTGTGTGTGTGTGTGTGAGAGAGAGAGAGAGAGAGAGAGAGAGAGAGAGAGAGAAAAGGGAGAGAGGGGGAGGAGGAGGGAGGGAGGAGAGTGGGAGGGAGGAAAGGAGGAGAGAGAAAGAGAAAGTGGTCTTGTAGCTAGGGAAATTGTGCATATTTGTTTTGGGGTGTGTCTCAGTGTTTACCCCAGAAACAGAAACTTTGCCAAGGTCGCACAGCATATTCGCGTTCAAACTTGGCCCCTTATGAATCTTTCGGCAGCTCTCAGTGGCTATCACTGGGGTCTGAGGCATAGTACCCCAAACGGACTCCAGGAGTCTTCCAGAATTGAGTTAAGGTTCCCCACCCCCACTTCCTCCCTACAGCATCACGGGACCTCTAAGGCGTTCCCGCCTAGGAAGGAGGTGAACCTAGTTCTGCGGGGCCTCAGGCTCCCAGCTGCTTTTCAGGGTCCTCCACTGGAGGGGGCGCACAGCTCAGTGAGAGCAGATGCCCCAGAGCACAGTTCCTCGGGGCCCCATCCTCTGGCCCGGAGAAAGTTTACGGTTGGCATGCCTTTCCCGGCAATCGGGTGACTTTCCCGAGAAAAATGGATCACTACTAAGGGGGCGAGAGCAAGTGAGGGTCAGCCTCCCTCCAGCGTGGCTCGACGGAGCTCTATCCTTGCCCTCTCCACTACGCGCCTCCCCACCGTGCTCAGGAGGCATACATGTTCACCCCACTTTCTTCCTCTTCCTCCTCCAGCCCACTTTCTCTTCTCTGTGTCGTCAGAGCTCCAGGGAGGGACCTGGGCAGACAGAGAAGCCGGAAACAGCAGGCCGGGGCAGCCAGGGTTTACAGTGAAGAGGAAGGCCGGGGAGATGAGTGCGTGCGTACGTGCGTGTGTTGGTGAGCGTGTGTGTGCACAATGAATTTTTAGGGCCAGCCCAGAACCCGCTGGACAGAGCTACAGACCCATGGGGCCTGGCAGTGCCCGCTGAGCGAGGGAGAAGATAGCAGCGGGGCTGCCGAGGTGAGGGGATGTCTGCGGGTAGGGAAGGTGGGGGGCCTTTGACTAAATGTGGATTTTCGGGGCCTCGCAGGATCCTCCCCTGGGCGGGGCGGTTGGTCCCCTGAAAATCGTTTCAGCTGGTGTTAGTAGCTGATGGCACTGGATTTTGGCAGTTCACAACTTTGGAAGGACTCGGGTGGGTACAGGCCTCCACACTCCCCTCCCAACGCATCACGTCACTTTCCCCAACCCTCAGCCCTGCACCTCCTGGGACTCGGAAAGTCGCGGGGCAGAGGGGAAGGAGGGTCCTCTGGGTAGGGGGACGTGGCTGCCCCTCCCTAAGAAGTTGATATACTCCAGTCTCCCCCCCACCCTCCCACCCCAGGCCTGTCCAACTCCTAGCTGCTGCCCACTAAATGTTCCTGTTCAGGGTGTGGCTGGAGGGTGAGGAGACCCAGATGTAGACCTCATGGTGCCCCATAGGAGGGGGACTCCCCCGCCCCTACTGCTTGCTTTGCTGCCCTAAATGCTGAGATTTTCCCATGGGAGGGCGGCCGGCTGGGGGTTAACCCTCCTCGTGCTGGCCTGGCTCCACCTCCTCTCACCCTTTCCCGCCCCCATCGCCGCCGCCCTATACACACATTGGGCAACTCATGGAAGCCCTTGACTTTTGCTATTGGGGTCAGCGGATTCGGAATTCGGATACAGAGGGGATAGGACTTGAGCCACCAAGCTTAGGGAGAAGCTTCTGGGCTCACGGGCTTCCCCTGTGGCTAGGAGGGAGAGTCTGCCAGGGAACGCTGGCTCCGCCTCTTGCAGTGTGGCTCCACCTTCCCTCTCTAGGGACTGAACGCAACCGGTGTCAGTGTCCTGGCCCGACCTAGAGACGCAGCACCAGTTACCGGGTGTTCAGGGGAGAAATATGACTTCATGGTGTCTGGGGAGGGAGGAGGATGACACTTGAGTTACTCTGCAAGGAGATTTAGAGGAAATGGGAGTTTCTCGTGGCTTGGAGGTCCCCAGTCCCCAGTAGGGTAAGGATTGGGCCAAAGGTCTGGAATCTGAGCACTCCAGAGACTGGGAAGAAGAGGGAAAAGCATCATCCCTTGAATTTGAAAATAAGATGAACGTGACTCCTCCGGGTGCCCCACCCAGAGAGGTAGGCAGTTTTAGAGCGGAGACTGGCAGAAGACCCTGAGCAAGAGGTGAGGAGGACTGTGCCTTTGGGAGGAAGAGCGCAGGGAGTGGTAGAGAGAAAGGCAACATGGTTAGGGGAGGAATGCCCTTTAAAAGGGGCCTCCTTTTCTTGTACCTGGAAGGCCTCAAAAAGCAGGAGGACTCGGGGAGTTTCCATCCCATCCTCTTCTTCCTCCTCCTCTCTGAGAGAACGTTATGAGAAATGTGTACCGAGAGGCCCCATGGGAAACCACTGATCTACCCCAGGCCACTCTGAGGCCCCCGAGAAAGTATAGAGCTGCCTTTCTCCTACTTCTTTCTCCTTCTCTCCTTTTTTTTTTCTTCTCTTCCTCTGGCTTTTTTGCTGTCTATTGCCTCACTCTTGCAGGCTTTTCTCTCCAGGCTGCTCAATCCTGTTGTTTCTCTCATCTTCTTTCTTTTTCCTTCCCATCTCCTCCTGCCCTCTCTATTTTCTTTAAGTGATGAGATTGCTGAGCTGGAAGGGATGCTAACAGCACAGTGTAGTATCAACCGCTACACTGCAAAGATTCAGAGCCCAATTACCAGCTCCTTGCCCAATGGCCATGGACAAGTTAGATAACTTCCTGAGCTTTAGTGTATTCATCTAGGAAAAGGATAACTGCATATTAAAATAGGGTTGGAGAGATGGCTCAGTGGTTAGGAGCATTGGCTGTTTTCCCAAAGGAGCTGGGTTTCATTGCCACACACATGGCAGTTCACGACTGTTTATGACTCCAGTTCTAGATACACACATGCAGGCAAAACCATTAACATAAAATAATAATAATAAACTAAAAAATTGTTGTGAGGGGACAGGGATGTAGTTCAGGCATAGAGCATTATGTAGCATAGAGCATTATGTAGCATGCTCTGGGCTCTGCGCTCTGCACAGGAATACGCACACACACACAGAGTTGTAGGGTTCCAGTGAGCTAATGTATTGAGTAAGATATATCTATGGAATAGTACATAATAAATAGACATTACCACCGTTTGGTGAGTTTTGCAGCGTTGGGCACTGAATTTAGAGCTCTACAGATGCTAGACAGGCAACTGCCTCTAAGGTGTCTTTCAAATTGCCTTACAGGGTCTTAGAATTTTGAAAGTTTTCAAGGGACACCTTTGGGGTCAGGGGACAGGGAGAGACAAAGTAGATGCAATGGGATCCTGCCTCCAAACTTGCCTTCCATAGTGACTGCAGCATTGCAACCCCTCCCCTCCTGTGGTTTTTCTCCTTGGGTTAGTCACCTGTAGTAAGCCACACCCTGAGGATATGAAATAGAAAATGCCAGAAAAAGCAATACATGAATTTTAAACAACTTTTATTACAGTATGTTGTATAATTTATTTTATTGTTGTTGTTAGTCTCTTTATGTACCCAATTTCTGTGTTCAACTTTGCATAGGAGAAAATACAATAGATGCAAGGGTGGGCTCTACAAGCTGTTTCAGGCCCTAGCCATAGTCCTGAGTATCCAAATTATGTCCTGAGTGTCATTAAAAACTAAAATTGCAAGGCAGGTGGTTCTCTGTGAGTTAGAGGTCAGCCTGGTCTACAAAGCAAGTCCAGGACAGCCAATGCTACACAGAGAAACCCTGTCTCAAAAGAACCAAACCAAACCAAACCAAACCAAACCAAAAGACTAAAATTTTAGTCAGCTGTGGTGGTGCCACAGACACCACCGCACTTGGAAAGTGGAGACAAGAGGATCAAGAGGCTGACCTGCTGTGGCAGCACACCCCTTAATCCCAGCATGCAGGAGGCAGGGGCAGGTTAATTTCCCTGAGTTTGAAGCCAGCCTGAGCTATGTAGGGAGTTTCTCTGAGGTGCTCAGAGTGCTTGTCTAGCACTCTGAGTTTGCTCACAGCACCACTGAAAATTAAAGTCATTTAGTGTTTTTAATGTTTAGAAGGAGCAAAGTTGGGTTGGAGAGATGGCTCAGAGGTTAAAGGCACTGGCTGCACTTCCAAGGGCCCGAGTTCAATTCCCAGAAATCACTTGGTGGCTTACAACCATCTATAGTGAGATCTGGTGCCTCTTCTGGCATCCAGGCAGAACACTGTATACATAATAAATAAAATATTTTTTAAAAGAAAAAAAAAAAAAAGAGCAAAGACTTGGTGGCATGTACCTGCAATTCTGCTACTTCAGAGGATGAGATGAAATGATGGATTTCTTGAGCTCAGGAGTTCAAGGGAGACATAGCATCTTAAGACAAAAAATTTAGTAGATGTCCTATTTAATCAGGCCTCTTTTCCATGATAAGATGATCAAAGTCTATGGAGCGCAGTCCTTATACCTGACTGGGTCCTGAGCTTCAGGGGCTATTGCCTGACGTCACTGAGCCTGCTCTTTCTCTTCTGCCTTGTGTCCTCCAGTCACCTCTCCCCCAGCCCCAGCTGTAGCACTTCAGCTTGCCCATGCCTACCTGCTACTGAAGGTGATGCCCTGTTTTGGGCATTGGCCAAGGAAGCTTGTGACTAAGGTGATGAGGGGGGAAAAACTGTCATGGAAGAACTGTGATACCCCACATCCTGACTCAGCTCTCTGGGACTTTAGCTGGGCCATGAGAAACTAGACAGAATTTAAAGCTATGAAAAGATTCGAGATTCTAGGCCCAGCAAGATGGAAGGAGGTTCTTGGGCAAGTCTATGGAGAGCTACGGCCACCCTGAAAGCTAGGCTGAGTTTCTCAGGGCCCTTTTTGAATGGCCTTGCTCTTCCTTCCCAGGCACCCAGCACACCCCAGATCATGTCTCTGTGGGGTCTGATTTCCAAGATGCCCCCAGAAAAACTGCAACGGCTCTATGTTGAGTTTCCCCAACACCTTCGGCATCTCCTGGCTGACTGGCTGGAGAGCCAGCCCTGGTGAGTCTCGCTGCTCTGTCCTCCCTTATGTATCTCCCCTCTTTTTAGAGCCCCTCCTACTGGTAGAATTCAGGGTCGAGGACTTGTGTATGTGATGGCCCAGACTTGGTACACCACACCTGTTGACGTGTAGACATTCCACCTCTTAGAAGGCGGAGACAAGAAGGAAAGTGAGGGCTGGAACAGCAGCCCCTCTTAAAAGCCAGCGAAGCAAGGAGCAGGAGGCATGGTGGCGGCTGCAAAGAACCATCCAGAGAGAAGGGAGAGGAGGGGAAAAAACAAAACAAAACAACAACAGCAAAAAACCAATAGGTTCCTTGATATAAGTTGAGACTTATAATCATTAAGGAAGCCCTGGACTGAGACATCCTTATCCCACTGTCCCCACAGGGAGTTCCTGGTTGGTGCAGATGCCTTCTGCTACAACATGGCTAGTGCCCTGCTTTCGGCCATGGTCCAGCGTCTTCAGGCCTCTGCAGGAGATCAGGGAAAAGGGAACCCCATCCTGCAACACATCAGCACCTTGGAGGTAGGGCAAGAGGTGAAAGGAAGAGGTTGGGGTGAGGTCAAGGGAGAGCCGGAGTGAGCCCTGGATACCCGAAGAAAATTGGCCTGGTGGTAGATGTTAAAAGCAAATGTTATTCCTGTGGTTAGGTGCTAGCTGCCATGCAAATCAGCTTTTAAAGTGTGGAAATGTATGAAATTTGAGAGTCTACAGTTACGATTATACATGAATGGGGGCAAGGAATTGGAGGAGGGAGTGGGGCATGAGTAAGGATGAAGCTAACTGCTGGTCACTTTCAATTTTATAGAGCATGTATCAGAGGGACCCCCTGAAGCTGGTGGCCACCATCAGACAGATACTTCAAGGGGAGAAAAAAGCTGTTATAGAAGAGGTACCGTGATACCCCAGTTCCCATTTGTTTTAGGGCTCTCCGGAGGAGCGGAACTTACAGAATGAATATATATGAAGATATTTATATATAGGATTTATTAGAATGACTTACTGGCTGTGGTTCAGTTAGTCCAACAATGGCTGTCTACCAAACAAGAAGTCAGCTGATCTTCAGTGTATGCTGAAATCCTGAAGAAGTAGGCTCTAAGGCCAGTGAAGAAATGGACTGGCTATGTAGATCAAGAGCAAACAGGCAAAGAGAGCAAGCTTCCTCCTTCCATGTCCTTTATAGGTTTCAGTTAGACTAAAGGTGGATCTTTCCATCTCAAAAGATCTGGATTAAAGGTTTATCTTTCCTAATCCCAGCACTCAGGAGGCAGAAGCAGGAGGATCTCTGAGTTCAAGGCCAGCCTGGCTACAGAGTGAGTTCCAGGACAGCCAGGGTTAGACCAAAAAGCCTTGTCTCAAAAACAAACAAACAAAAAAACAAACAAACAAACAAAAAAACAAAAAGGTGTATCTTTCCACCTCAAAGATCCAGAATAGATGTGGATCTTCCCATTTGAAATGATTTAATTAAGGAAAAAATAATCCCTCACAGCTGTGCCCAGCCATTTGGGTTTTAGTTAATTCCAGATATAGTCAAATTGACAACGCAGAAGAGCCATTACAGGTCCATATCTTGTCAGCTAGACACACAATCATACCTCCTTGGGTCATGCTTAATTTCCAAATGAAAACAACTAGGTCGTAATTACACCTAACATAATATAACATATTATATCCATGTACAATGGCAAACACATTATATACTTAAAATAAGTAGCAATGTCCCTTGAGGAACATTCTTTTAAGTATATCAAATTTAAATATCATAACCACTGATTATCTCTTAATTGAGATTGTAATACATTGAGGGAAGAAAACAAATATCTGTACAAACACATTTTTAACAAAATGTGACAGAAAAACTCATGTCAAGTATAATCCTCATTTCTGCAACTGTTCACATGACCTTAGTTGGTATTTATTTGTTTTTAATAATTTATTTCATATGGACTGGTGTTTTGTCTGCATATATGTCTGTGTAAGTGTATTGTTTCTCCTGAAACTGGAGTTACAGAAAGTTGTGATCTGCCGTGTGGGTGCTGGGAATTGAACCTGGGTCTTTTGGAAGAGCAACCAGTGCTCTTAATCACTGAGCCATCTCTTCTGTCCCTGGAAAAATGGTATTTATAATTATTTCCTCTACTGTCCACTCTTTATTTCCTTCACCTGAAGCAATCACCTCTGCAGGTCTTGGCTTTTTTTCCTGGAGGAATGCCTCATATCTTCACTACTAAAGGGTCTATGCCCTTCCTGGTCCTGCCTGGATTAGGTTGTTGTAGTTCCCACTGACTTTAATCACAGGACATGGCAGTACCAAGAGATGCCCTAAAGCAGCAGTCCTCAACTTGGGGGTCATGACCATTGGAAAACATGTATTTCCGATGTTCTTAGGAAATGAGACATTGGCTCAGTAACAAAATTACAGTTTTGAGGTAGCAATGAAAATAAATTTATGGTTGGGATTTCTAAGACCATCAGAAATATGTTCTCTGATGGTCACAACACACAGATTGGGAACTCTGCCCTAAAGCATCTCCTGACCTCCAGACATAATTTCTCTTACCTCCATTGTGGAGAAGCAATCCAACTTCCCCTTGGTAATCTGGATCAGTCATCCCTCTTAATGCTGTTATTCCTTTCTTAGCCTGATGGCTTAAAGGCATCAGAAGCCCAAAGTGGCTAGGGGAAGTCAGAGCTTCCAATACAATGGGGATGTTTGTCGTGGCTCCTAGCAGCCCCTCTGGAACCAAAACTTCTAGGTCAGCAGAACTTAATGTTTCAGGAACAGGAAGCAAGGGGTGAGTGTCCTTTCTACCTCTTGATTCCTGGACCTAAGGATACTAGCCCCAGCCATGAAAACCTAGGAAGAATTTAAACTCAAAACTCAGTGATCTAGACTGAGGATAACCAGAGGAAGTTCCTGAGGTTAGAGTGAGCCCCAAACCAAGTTTAGGAAGACTTCAGCTGAAATAAGGGCTAAGGAGCTAGTCCTGCCTGGAAAAAGACCTTATCCTAAGAGGTTCCGAAAGGTTTGGGAAAACTGCCAAAGGCTAAAGGGGACCAGTATAGTAAATGGTCCACACTTCTCTGTGGAGGGGTAGAGGTGGATCTAGAGGCATGGGCGGAGCAGCTCATCTCTTGGTATCTGCTTCTGGCAGTTCCGCCACCTGCCAGGGCCCTTCCATAGGAAGCAGGAAGAACTCAAGTTTACTACAGCCCTTGGAAGGCTCCAGCACCGAGTAAGGGAGACTCGTCTTCTCCGAGAATCTTTACAGCAAAGGACCAAGGCTGGACAAGGTGGGTCTAGGGCCTGGGCTCCAGAAGGTCTTGGGGAGGGTTTAGAAATTCTCTTTTTTAGACCTCTGCCACTCTTTTTATACTCCTGATTTCTGCCCTGCCCTCAGTGTCTCTGCACAGCTTGGTAGAAACTCCTGCCAATGGCCCTGGTCCAAATGAGGTGAGTAATGACTGAGTTCCAAATGAGTTGGAAGGATGCAGTTGACAGACACAGACTGCGGTGTGGGAAGGGATGGCAGGGTGGTGGGTCCTGCTCTCAGGGATCCCAGGGAGAAGGTAGTGTCTGGCCCCTGCTCAGGCTCCTTTCTACTTTTAGGACCTGGCTACCCTGCTGCAGGGAACTGTAGGGGACCTGGAGGCCACCCAGGCCCTGGTGCTGAAAAGGATTCAGATTTGGAAGCGGCAGCAGCAGCTGGCAGGGAATGGGACACCCTTTGAGGAGAGCCTGTCAGGGCTGCAGGAGCGGTGAGGACAGGGAGCTGGGGAGGGAGCTTGGCGGGGTGGGTGCCAGTGTCTCTGCAGGATGGTACATAGATATGAGGGGGAGGAAGCTAAGCATGATGGCTGTGAAGTAGGCCAGGATGCAGGAAGTAGTTCCTACAGCTGCCCATGTACATCATTCACAAATGTCTCAGTTGAGGGGTCAGAAGTAGAAAGTCACCGTTACTTCTCTCTTCAAGCCCAGGGGAATGAGGAGGCTGGATTGCTTGTTTTTAAGACATAGACTTATACTGTAAGATGTCCTAGAATTTACTATGTAAACCAGGCTGGCCTTGAACTCACTGCAACCCTCCTGCCTCAGCCTCCCAAGTGCTGGAATTATAGGTGTTAGTCCCCATTCCTGACTTCTTTTGGTGAGGACACTTTCCCCAAAGTACTTGGTGCCTCAAGTACTAGAAGGTGGGAAGAGGTGAGGTTCTCCACACGGAGTCTACAGTGAACTCCGAACCCAGAGCCAAGACAGATCCTAGAACCAGCCTGGTGCCTTGCAGCAACACCCAGTACCTACCCCGTGCCTGCTCACTCAATATCTTGTGCTCTCTCTGGGTTTGGGCTGAAGAAAACAGCCTGATATCCATGCTCCCTGACAACCATCCTGGCCCCAGGTGTGAAAGCCTGGTGGAAATTTATTCCCAGCTGCAGCAGGAGGTTGGGGCAGCCAGTGGGGAGCTTGACCCCAAGACCCGGGCATCGCTGATAAGCCGTCTGGACGATGTGCTGCAAGCCCTCGTGACCAGGTATATGCCACAAGACCCTGCTTGGCTGTAAGCAGACCCCAGAGAGCAACGGGGTTAGAATTTGTGAAGAGGAGATCCCAGCGCTAACCCTTGCCCACCCTCGTTCCTCCAGCTCTTTCCTGGTGGAGAAGCAGCCTCCCCAGGTTCTGAAAACACAGACAAAGTTCCAGGCTGGAGTCCGATTCCTGCTGGGTCTGCAGCTCCTGGGGACCTCAGCCAAGCCTCCCCTGGTCAGGGCTGACATGGTGACAGAGAAACAGGCCAGAGAATTAAGCCTGCCCCAAGGGCCTGGGGCTGGAGTGTAAGTGGAGGCTGGCTGTGGGTGGGAGGAGGTTGGGTGGGTGATGGGGTGGGAGGAGCTGCGGGCTGGCTTCATAAGGAGTAGGGTTTAGGAAAAGAGACCTGTGCAGAGTAGAGACACTGAACTCTGTTGACTAGTTAAGGCAGAAGAAGGGGAGGGATCTGTTCAAGATGGAAACTTTCTTCTTAAAAACCCGGAAGAGGGAGGCCAGCAAGATGGCCTGACGATATGACTTTGATTCCTAGAACTATGGAAAGGCAGGAGAGCTGACTCCCAAAAGCTATATCTTGACTGATATATGAACCCATTTTATCAGGCATATGTACAATAACAACAATAATAAAAATTTAAAACATAGGACAGTGTAGCTCAGTTATAAAAGGTGCTTAGCATGCCAGGGGCCTGGCTTCAGTACTAGCAGTATATGTAAATACACACAGAGAGGAGGAGAAATACAAGTAGGGACATGGGGAGCCAGGGCCAGCTACAGCAGTGGTCAGACCATTCCCCAGGGACCCAAGCTCCTCATCACAGATGAGCCTGCCTGCTCACACTCTGATGCCCCTACAGGGAGAGCACAGGGGAGATCATGAACAACACGGTGCCTCTGGAGAACAGTATCCCCGGAAACTGCTGCTCTGCCCTGTTCAAGAACCTGGTGAGAGGCTGTAGGACATTGGCGTCCTCAGACCTTGACTCTCATTGGAAGGGATGTTGAGGGCCCAGAGAGGAAGCCCTCAACACCTTTGATCTCTCATCCTTCCCTGCTCTCCCTTATCCTCATCCCCGCAGCTCCTGAAGAAAATCAAGCGCTGTGAGCGGAAGGGCACAGAGTCTGTCACCGAAGAGAAGTGTGCTGTGCTCTTCTCTACCAGCTTCACACTGGGCCCCAGCAAACTCCTCATCCAGCTGCAGGTGGGTGCTGACCCCAGCTCCACTGCAGACACATACTTGAGCCATGGATTCTCCTGACAGCCTCATATCCCATTTTTCTGGGATAATACAGTGGAGCCAGACAACTGACAGGGGCAAGACCTGGAGGGCAGGTCCATCCAGGGAACAGTGAGTGTAGCAACCAAGGTCTGCTGCTGTTCTGTTCTGTTTACTTTCTTTGAGGCAGGGTCTCATGATGTAGTCTATGCTGGCTTTAAACTGTTTTGCTTTAGCCAGGTGCAGTGGCGCATGCCTATAATCCCAGCACTCTGGGAGGCAGAGGTAGGCGGATCTCTACATGGAGTTCTACATGGTCTACAAAGTGAGTCCAGGGCTAAATGGAGAAACCCTGTGTTGAAGAAAAAGAGAGAAAAAAAAAAGACTTTTTTCCTTTAAATATTATGATCATCATTATGGGGGTGTGAATATGCACTTATGGAGGTCAGAGGACAACCCTTCCATTTTTATGTGGGTTCTGGAATCTAACTTGGGTCAGTAGGCTTGTGCCACAAATACTTTCTGCTACTGAGCCATCTTGCTGACCCTCAAACTCTTTTTCTCATTTTGTTCCTCTCTTCTCCTTTCCCATCTCCTCTAATTTCCTTCCCTCCCCTCCCCTGCTCTCCCCTTCTTCCCCTCTCCTCTCTCTTTAAAAGAGTCTTCTATAGCTCAGGCTGGGATTAAACTCAATATCTTGCCTCAGCCTCCTAAGTGCTAGGGATCATAGGCCTATATCACCAACACATCTCTCTAACTCCTGTTACATGCTTTATATGTATCAGGAGATCAGGGCACTGCTATAAATGACACACACACACACACACACACACACACACACACACTCATGAGCACACATGAAGAACTTTTTATAGAATAGGACCCTATTCCCAGTGATATGCAAGCAACACATGGTCTGATGGTTTTCTTTTAGTTAGGGTGACTGTTGCTCTGATAAAGACCAGGGCGAAAGCAACTTGGAGAGAAAAAGGTTTACTGCCTCTTACTGTTCCAGGTGACCTTCATCACTATGGAAAGTCAGGGCGGGGACTCAAGCAGAGCAGGGACTCAAGCAGGGCAGGCTCCTGGAGGCAGGAACAGAAACAGAGCCACAGAGGGTTGCTGCTTACTGGCTTATTCCTTATGGTTTGCTCAGCCTGCTTACATACACCGGGCCACCTGCCCAGGGATGGCACCACCCACAGTGAGCTAGGCCCTCCCACATCAGTCACTAGTTAAGATAATGCTCCACAGGCTTGCCTACAGGCAGTCTTGTGGAGGCTTTTTTTTTTTTTTTCCTCAAATGTGGTTCCCTCTTTTCAGATGATTCTTCTCAGATAACCCATTACTTGTTTCTAGATAACACTGTAAGATAAGTACTAAACCAGGCAAGGTGGCAGGGGCCTTTAATTCCAGCACTCAGGGGGCAGCGACAGGGAGATCTCTGCGACTTCAAGTCCAGTCTGGTCTACTGAAGGAGCTCCAGGACAGCCGGGGCTACACAGTGAAACCGTGTCTTAAAAAAAACAAAAACAAAACAATAAAAAGATAGGCACTATTAGTTACCTCAGTTCACAGATATGACATTGGGTTCTAGAATAAACTCAGTAGTTTGCCCAGGTCACATGGCTTCTAAGCATTGGAACTGGTGTTTGAGCCTGAAGCCAGGCTTCAGTAACTTTGTTACGCTGACTTGTAAGCAATTTGCTATCCCTGCACCCTCATTGCGCTTCACAGTGTCCAGAGATGTCCCACCAACCTTTAACTCTGTCATGTGAACTGATACGCTGGAGTAACACCCAGCTCTCAGAGGACACTTCTGACTCCACTAAGGAGAAACTTCTCCCCTCACCCCTCAGGCCCTGTCTCTGCCCTTAGTGGTCATCGTCCATGGCAACCAGGACAATAATGCCAAAGCCACCATTCTGTGGGACAATGCTTTCTCTGAGATGGTAAGAAAAGACCCACAGTGGGAGATACGGGCAAGGTGGGTTCTTATGTAGTAAGATGAGTGCTGCCCTGGCTGGTGGGTGGCAGGCATGTTCAAAGGCATGACAAGTCTTTCTTGTGGGCTTACTTTTGTGCTTCTTACCATGTGTCATACCATGGCACCACAGCTACTGAAAAATCACTGTTTGTGAGCCAGCTCAGAGAACAGTGTTACGAAGGGCACCTCAGAAAATCAGGAAGAACAAAAGCCACCGGAGAAAGACTGGCCATGCTCTCTCCCCTTCTTTTACCCAGGACCGTGTGCCCTTTGTGGTAGCTGAGCGAGTGCCCTGGGAAAAAATGTGTGAAACTCTGAATCTCAAGTTCATGGCTGAGGTGGGGACCAGCCGGGGACTGCTACCAGAACATTTCCTCTTCCTGGCCCAGAAGATTTTCAATGACAACAGCCTTAGCATGGAGGCCTTCCAGCACCGCTGTGTGTCCTGGTCACAGTTCAACAAGGTCATTCCCCTGCTCTTTCAATTTCCTTCTTTCTTCACCTTTGGGGCGCTCAAAACCACCCAGCCTCTGCTCAGGGATAGACTTCTAGGATCTTCACAACGCTCCATCATGTCCGGCCCAGAGAGAAAAACTCTTCCACTTTGTGACATTCTCTGGCACCCATCAGTTTTGGTCTGGAGGAACCTGACCTTTCTTTTTAGCAATGATTTGCATGATTATTCAGATTGTGTGCAAACAGAGCTCTGATTTAAAACAAAAACAAAAAACTGACTTTGACACCTCAGAAAAAGCAGTCTATTGCAAAATTTGGGTGAAGTCACACAAGACCACATGGGTCAGGAAGGCTGCCAGCGCTGGTGCTCAGGGTGCTTACCACATACAGGCACTGTTTCACACTTGTGTGTGCTACCTCCCATGATCCCTTCTGACACGCCTTTCAGCTTGCTGTCACTTGTATCTGTTTCATAGATGACAAGCCTGTACTTAGAGAAGTTCTATAGTTTGTCCAAGGTACCCCCGCAAGGTGGCACCCACTCAGGTAGAAACCCAGATATCTTTTTGTCTTCTGACACAGGGCTTGCTCTGTAGTTCAGGCTGTCTTCAAACTCACTGTATAGCTCAGGCTGGCCTTGACTTCAAGATCCTCCAGCCTCAGTCTCCTTGGTACTCAAATTTACAGGAATGAGCCACCATGCACAACAGGAGCCCTGTATCTCTGACTTTTTAGCTATTGTATTTTTTGATCTCCAAAATGAGATGGCTCAGGACTGAATCAGTTACAAGAACAGGGAAAGGAGAGCTTATGTGTTTGCCCCTGGTGGCCGTCATGCACAGCCACCAAATCAGCACTAAGGACACCTCTCATGAGCCTTGCCCTGGCTCCCACTTTAGGTCTTTCCTCTTTCAAACAAAGAAGCAAAATGGCCTGTGGGGGAGAAGATCATGTGACCGGAGAATGTGTTACTGAAAAGACAGGACAGCAGGACAGTTGGCTTCCTCTGGAATGGACCTTTGTCCGGCCCCACTGAGGACAGGGTTTAGCACCGTGATTATGAGGGGCTCCCACGATAGACTGCTGACTTAAATTTCATTCTGTCCTTCACTAGCAGTGTGGACCCAAGGAGGTGAATACCTTTCTGGGCGTCATTGTTATGATTGTTATGTTATCCCCAGAGAGATCAAATAAATTTAAATAAAGAAAGAAAATAAATCAAATAAAAAAATAGACTGAAGGAGCCCAGTGTGGCCACAGTAAGTGGTTGCTGTTGCTAGGCCTTAGGCCCACTTTGGTCCTCAACCTTTGACTCTCATACTCTTATAAGCCTTGTGCTTGCTCTGGCTCTCCTTCCCCACTCACTTCTGCACTCCTCCACTCTTCAGGAGATCCTGTTGGGCCGCGGCTTCACTTTTTGGCAGTGGTTTGATGGTGTCTTGGACCTCACTAAACGGTGTCTCCGGAGCTACTGGTCAGATCGGTGAGTACCTGCCCCAGGAGGCCAGACACCTGTACCATCCAGTCCACACACAGACCCACACCGTGCCTTCTCCTTTCCTCTGGCAGGCTGATCATTGGCTTTATTAGCAAGCAATATGTCACTAGCCTCCTCCTCAATGAGCCAGATGGAACCTTCCTCCTCCGCTTTAGCGACTCTGAAATTGGGGGCATCACCATTGCCCATGTCATCCGGGGTCAGGATGGTGAGTCACCACAGCCAGCCCTCTGACTCTGTGCTGTGATCTCTTGGGTTTCTGGGGGAAAGAAATGCCCTGGCTATCCTTGATGTCCAACTGATCTTCAGTAAGTTCTTCCTTAGGTCTGACTTCTCATCTTCTATGACTTAACCTTCCACTTCCATGGTAATGGAGACTACTGGGTCTCTTTCATGCAAGACTTCTACCCTAGGCCTTCTCTCACTTGCCCTGGTGGATTGAGAAGGGGTCTTGCAGTGGGAATGGGTAAAGAGAAGTTTGTACAGAGGAGACTTTAGGGTCTCGTTCCTCTTGTAGGCTCCCCACAGATAGAGAACATCCAGCCATTTTCTGCCAAAGACCTATCCATTCGCTCGCTGGGGGACCGGATCCGGGATCTTGCTCAGCTGAAAAACCTCTACCCCAAGAAACCTAAGGATGAGGCTTTCCGGAGCCACTATAAGCGTGAGCAGGCAGCTCTGACTCCTCCTGCCACCCGCTTTCTCCCTGTCCCAACTGTACCCCTCTTTCTGCCTGCTGTGTGTTGTCCCTGTCCTCCCTCCCATCTTTGTAGCCCCACCTCCACTGCCTGGGGACCTTCCTCCTTGCTGTCTCCTTGACAGTGGGATACTCCACAGTTCTCCTTTCCTTTCCACCACAGCTGAACAGATGGGGAAGGACGGAAGGGGTTATGTCTCAACTACTATCAAGATGACTGTAGAAAGGTGAGTGGGATGGTCAGTGCTTGGAGACTGGAGGCTGGCACTAGTCTGCAGGAAGGAGTGTCCTTTGTCAGTCACGTGTGCTTGTTTTTCCCCTTCAGGGACCAGCCTCTTCCTACTCCAGAGCCCCAGATGCCTGTCATGGTGCCCCCTTATGATATTGGAATGGCCACTGATACCTCCATGCAGCTCAGCTCAGATATGGTGTAAGGAGCTTGAGAGACAGGGAGGGGACTGGCGTGTGCTGGGAGGGCCTTCAACATAGCCTGCTGAGAGAGCTGGACTTTCAGACTGAGGTGGAAAATTTCCTTTCTTGGAGGCAAGGTGTATAGTTACCAGGGGGAAGGGTGATACAGAGTCTGCTTTCTTTCCCAGGTATCCTTCACAGTCTCATTCCATCCACCCATTTCAAAGCCTTCCCTTAGAAGAGCCAATCAGTGTGCTGCCAGCCTTTCAGGAGTAAGTAAGCAGGATGAGGTGAGGCTTGTCCTGTCACAAGCCATGGGGAGGAGGCCGTATGTAGGAGAGGCAGCACAGGCTGACCCCAATCCTCTACATGCTTGTGGGGGTGATGTCTGAGACTCAGGTGGCCAGCCTTTGAGTTCCAGCTGGGCTGACTTTATATAGGTTACCTAGCCCCCGATGACGATGATAATAATAATAGTATTCTCTAGTGCACAAGCTTATTGTGAAGATTATATGGGTTCATAATGTGTGTAGGTCTGAGCTGAGCGCTTAGAGCAAACACTGTTAGCATAGTCTCTCTGGCCTGTGAAATTGATGGGAACTTATTTGCTGTATTGTAGTGCTGGGGGCTGAGCTCAGGGCTAAGGACTGATCACGTGCCAAGTATGGCTCTATCACAGAGCTACATCCCAGCAGTGCAATGAGTCTTATTTGTTAATCTTTTTCCTCCTCAAAGTGGCCTAGATCTTTATCTTCCCTAAGCACCACTCACTTGTTCCATCAGCTTAGGCAAGGGTTTAGCTGTCTTCTGGGAGTTGATGTGGGCGGGTCTATGAAACAGAACATAGTTCAGACTAAAGAAACATTGGAAATTGGACATGGAGACACACACACAATGCACATACCATTCTACAAGGGGAGAAATCTGGTCTCAGAACACAAAAGTGGCTTTCCAAGGGAAGCCAGGCAGTGAGATGCTCCTCAGTCAGGACTGCCTGGCAGCTTGATTTCTGACTCATATCTTGACTTTGCAATATCTCCTTCTGCCTGCTTTTCCTTCCTGCTTCCAGGCCTCACCTGCAAATGCCCCCCAACATGAGCCAGATAAACCTGCCCTTTGACCAGCGTCACCCCCAGTAAGTGACAATGCCCCTACTGGCCACCCTCTCTGTCCTTTCCACTGCTTCTAATTCTCTGTTGTGATCTCTGGCAGGGGCCTGATGCAGTGCCAGTCCCAGGAGCACTCTGTGTCTAGCTCAGACCCCTTGCTCTGCTCAGATGTGACCATGGCGGAAGACAGCTGCCTAACTCAACCTGTGGGAGCGTTCCCCCAGAGTACCTGGTGAGTGGCAGCTTGGGAGTGAGAGCTCCCAAATGGGAAATGGGAGTTGTGTCTACTCCACTACTTCACCCTCCTCCTTGCAGGGTTGGTGAAGACATGTTCCCTCCTCTGCTGCCTCCCACTGAGCAGGACCTCACCAAGCTTCTCCTGGAGGGCCAAGCAGAAGCAGGAGGAGCGTCCTTGGGAGCCCAGCCCCTCCTGCAACCATCTCCTTACGGGCAATCTGGGATGTCAATGTCCCATCTGGACCTAAGGACCAACCCTAGCTGGTGATGCCAGCTGGAGAAGTATAGAGCCAGAGGATCTTCTGCCTCTACGGACCTGCTCTGGACCTGCTCATGCAGGCGCCTCTCCTCTCCCTGGTCAGGAGGAAAAGAAATGGCTGGACGAATGCATGGTGTATGAAATAATTGTGCTCTGTCCTTCCTGCCATACCAGGGCCCCCTTTTCCAGCGCTGGGGTCAGTGGGATGTTCAGGCTCTAATGTGATAACAGTCCCCTGCATGCCTATACCACACACACAAACACACACACACACACACCAGGCTGTGCAGGAGGGGGACTGTTCAAGCAGAGGTTAGGACACCCGTGGCTCCTGTGTTAAGCCAGGGCCTGGAACACACATGTAGAAACATGACTGTGCCATGGATAGAAGGCATAAACCTAGGGCATTGAAGCAGGAGTTCAGAAGCCTCTGGGTGGGAGTAAAAGGGAGGGCTGTAGGTATATGGTTACTGGTATGGATTTTGCCCAGGTTTTTAATTTTTCTCCAAATTCTTGCCAAAAATAGGCACTGTGACCATTGAGACTTTGTTACAAGAGCTAAGCTTCTTTGTGTGTAGCTGTGCCAATATTCACCTGAGACACATTAACCTACAGATGTCACCTATTCACTGTATGACGACACAGACCATGTGTCTGCACTTTGGCCTGTGCAACCTCACTATCAGAGCCTGAGGACTGAGGGACACAGACATCACTGTGTCAATTCCCTGGGTCTTGGGGGCCCCACTGGCTCTCTCTCCTGTATCTTTCTGTCCACTGCCAGCTGGTGTCCACTCTCATGTGCCATGCAGTCTCGTTTTCCCTTACCGGGGAGAGGGGATCATGGATCCTAAGCCATAAAATAAATTTTATTCCAAAATAACAAAATAAATAATCTACTGTACACAATCTGAAAAGAAAGACACTCTAAGTGGTCGACAGGTGCTGCAGTCCTGCTGGCCGGCCTGAGGAGACCCAGGGTCCAACCCAGGCCTCTAAGGGGCTGATGGAGGGAACTGCGGGCCACCCTCACACACAGTGAAGAGAGAACTGCCGGGAGGCGGGTGATGAGAATGGGTGGGCAAACTGCAGCACTTGTTAAAGAAACAAACTAGAAGCACAAAAAACAAAAAAACAAAACAAAAAAACGAGAATGGGAATGGGGAGGGGAGACCTAGTTTTCCCAGGCCCCGCAGTCTCAGAGCAAATGGTTTTACTGTAAGCGGCTAGACCTTCCTGGGGAAGTTCATTCCCTACATCCGTCCAGCTGTTCACACCACTGGTGGCCACCAGGAGAATGGGTGTGTGCAGAATGAGGGAAGAGAGCCCCACAGGCTAGAGGCAAAGTCCATGCCCCTGAGCCGGGTGAGGGTGCACCCTGCACCCCCTCCTATGTCCTCTGGCCAGGTCTCTGCTTGTTATTGCTTGAAGCCCCACAGTACTATGTCCATGGAGCAGATAGAGGCAGAAGGGCAGCAGAAGGACCCTTCTACAGTGGAGACAGGAGTGCAAGGACGGAGAATGTGGGGGCCTGGGTCTTGCATCTGAGACACCCTCATGCTCACTGCCGGCTGGCCTCTGCCTCCACTTTGACGCTGCTCCTGCGACCCTCCACCAATGCTGGGTGAGGTCCTGGGGCCGGGCATCGGTCCATTAAGCCTTCCTCGAATTCTGTAGGAAAGAGATGTAGGTTGGTTAGAACACTGGGATGCAGGCTGTGCAGAAACGCTGCCCTGAGTGGGGCCAGGCACAGAAAAATGTAAAGACAGCTCCATTTATTGACTTACTGCCTCCTGCCCACTGTGTATGGGGCTCCATACCCAAGTGTATGCAGTTCTCCCTCCTATTTTGGTTGTGTGTAGCTCTCTGTCTCTGTGTGTCTCTCCCTTTCTCTATCTCCCCGCCTCTGCTCTGCTGGAATTTCTGGTTCTGTCAGGAGCTGCGGGGGCCGCTTGGCTCTGACCTCTCCCCCTCCCTCTTGCCAGGCCCAGCCACCCCCCATTCATCTCTGGCCTCCTCTCAGGCCTCAAGCTCCCTACAAGTGCCCCTCTACCAGATTTTGGTAGCCAAATCAGGGGAAACACAGGAAGCTAGACTCCCAGCTCCTCCCTCAAGAAAAGCCCCCCCCTCCAGTCCCCGCCCCCACTTCCCTCCCACGCACAGTTTAAAAATACCAAGCCAGGGTTGGTGGCTTTGTCTGCTGCGTCACTCTCAGCCCAGCGGCTGCCCTGGTCCTCTGCCGGCCCACTCTTTCCCTATCCACACACGAAGTGCCCAGCTTGGGGCTCCTAGGCTTCCAAGCTGGGGAACCCCAACCCCACAACTCCCAGCGACTCCACCCCCATGCATGAGGCAGTTCTAGTCAGGCTTCCTTTACTGCTCACTCTCCTGCTCACCTTCACCCCTAATTTTGTTGTCTACTCCATGGTCCAAGAACCCCATCTGGGTCAGACCCTCCCCACTGGTAACACAGCAGTAACTTGTCCCTGCTAGCTATAGCCCCTTCTACTGTTCTGATAGCTGTATCCCTCTTCTTCCCTCTGGTCCTAGAAAATGAGGACCCACATGTGGGCCTGAGTAGGTAGGGTGTTTAGGGACAGCACTGCTGGCTGCCTCACCTGCGAGAGGCGGCTTCGCAGGCACACAGGGGCTGAGGCGGCCCACGCGATCATGGGAGACGAGGCGGGCGAGCCGCAGCCCCTCATCCATCAGTGTCTGCTGCAGGATGTGGCGGCTCCATAGCCCATGGGCTGGCAATGCCAGGGGCAGGTCAGCAGGGGGCGGCGTCAGCCTTGGGCACGACCCCACAGCTGTGGGCATGGGCACTGGTCAGGTCAGGGGCTGCCGCCAACGGTACCCACCCAAAACCAACAGTCATTCCCATAGGCTCCTGTGCCCCCATCCAGCCAGGCCTCCCAACCCTGTTCCAGGCAGTTGACTCCCGGCTCATTCCTGTAACCCACCCACCCACTCCCACCTTCTCCCAAAGCAGAGGAAAGTACAATAATGAACACTTACCCTGCAAGTGGCCATCGAGGCTCTCCCCAGACAGACTGGCACTGTCCTCCTCTAGGCTGGGGCGGTATGGGGGTACGTAGGACTCAGGGCCTGAAGGAGGCTGCTGGATCTCAGTGTGGCTCTGTTCTCCAACCTGTGGGTGCCCAACACTGGGAAATGAGAACCTAGCAAGGCAAGTGGTTGGTGCAGGCTGTCCTTCCCTGCCCCCAAAACCATACCTCTTGTTTCAGTTTCTTCAGTGGTGGGCCTCCTAATTCTTCAGAGTGAAGCCTACAGAAAAAGAAAACAAGGAAGGCAGGGTAAGGGAAGGCCCCAGAATGCACAGGGCACACAATCTGGCCAGGAAACATGCATTACTTCAAAACTCCACACAGAAGGTGTCTGGATAGGAATCTCAAGTCCAATCATCACCGTGGGGGGTTGGGAGTAAAGAGCAAGCCTCAGACAAGTTGACTTGGCAAGAGGAAGACATGTAGGTGGGCGGGAAGCCGGCCTAGAGCTGCCTGAGCCCCAAGTGGGGAGTCCTTAGCAGGATCCCAACCCAAGGCAGCCCTGGAGAAGTGGGTGGGGGTTCTCACCTGGATCCCTTCAAGGAGGAAAGATAGGTGCTCTCTCGGGCAACTTGGCGGGACAGTGAGAAGAGTTCTACCCTTCGCAGTAAAAGCGTGTTGTCCCTCATGCAGAACTGGGCAGCAGCTTCATTGATGGTCAGCTGTGGCAAGAAGACAGCCAAAGTGAATTTCCGACTCTCCCACTGCTTTGGCCCTTCACCACCAAGAGAAGCCCCTTCCAAAGGATGCACACTCTAAATAACACCCAGAAACTTCCCAACGTTAGAAGAGACGTAGGGGCTCCTAGCGTAGTGTCCCTATCAAGGCCTCCTCTGTTCCTAGGAGGATGTGAGCAGCACAGGGCTGAACACTTGGGCTCATTACTATCTCAGCTTCCCCTTTAGTTGACACAGGTAAAGCAGCAGCTGGGGCTAGATGTGTGTGGGAATTTGGGTGGCCAAGGATACAATGGTAAAGAGCTGGAAAATGCAAGAATGCAAGAATTCTCAGAGGCAAATGGATTGAGCCGCAGGAGTTAAGGGCAGTCCTGAGGACCCAGGTCTTCACCTCATGCAAGCTGAGTTGCTTGCCCTCCCGCCGTTTGGAATCCAAGCGGCCATAGATGACGCTGTACTTTCGGATCTCTTCTTCCTTTTGGCTGTCATTATCATCCATCTCAAAGATGTGGCCCACACTCCGTGCCAGCTTCTTATTCAGCTTCAACAAGGATGTGACCTCCCCAGCATCACCCCTGGGGAAACTCCGGAAGATCCTTTCCACACTCTCCACAACCATTCGGACCATCTCTGGCTCCAGGCGGTCTGGACCACCCCCAGTTCCAGCTGCAGCCACCCCCCCAGCCCCAACTCCCTCAGGGACTCCTCCCCCTGCAGGTGGGGAGAAAGGGGGAGACCCAGCCTCCTCTTCTCCTCCTGCTCCAACATCAGACTCTGGAGTGCTCTGGCCTGGCCAGCTCCGGGGATCCCCTGCCCCAGGTCCTCCAGATAGTGGTGATAGCTTCTCTCCAAGTTCAAGGGGACTCTTGGGGCTGAAACTTCGGGCACTGCCCGCCTTCTCTCCTGGGCTGCCATGCCCATTGCTCATGCTCCCTTTCCGAGTTCCCGCCGTCTCAGAGATCTTGAAAAGTGGGATGCTGGAGACAGGTACAGCAGGCACGGGTTGGCTGAAGAGCCCAGGGTTGGTGGCCCATTCTCTCAGAGCCTTCTGTAGACGTCGGACATGGAGTGGTTTGGTGGCCATGCCCACAAGTGCCATGATTTCCAGGAACTCCTCCTCACCCGCCTCACACAGCTGCTGCACATCATCCCCTCCCTGCTGGATGAAGGTCTCGTAGTAGGAAAGGAGGTTGGCACGCTGCAGGACCCGATATAGCTGCAGCTCACCCAGTGTTCGAGGCAGTGCCATGGCTGGGGCACTGGCCCTGAGAAGAGAGAGGCAGTGAGTCCAAGTGCCCCTGCTGGGTGCCAACCCACACCAACAATTGTCCTCTCTTTCCTCCCTCCTCCCCCCTTCTCTCTTGAATGCTTTCTCTGCCCAGT